CCCCACTCTGGAGGACACTGGCGTGTTTGCCGAGGGAACGGGGCACCTCGACGCTGCCTCTGGGATCCATGTGAGCTGACAGCAGCCGCACAGTCACTCATTGAGAAAGAGGACGGTTTAGGACAAAAGGCTGTCTTGTAGGAGCAGACTGCAGCACTAAATCACCATTCACACAAACAGAAATAATTAGTCATAATACAGACATCAGCCAAGAGGGAGTCATCTACATGATAAAACATAGCAGTCTGGCGTTTTTCTATCACGTGCATGAACTCTATTTTCATCAGCAGACTTTGGCCAATGCTACTCTGTATTTTTGTCTGGATGTGATCCCAAAACTTGTCTGCCAACTAGAAGATGGAGCAAAACCTTGTCTTGACAGGCTACCATCAGCCAAAACGAACCTACGGTGATCTCCAAACCATCTGATGAAGACAGCGTCTGGTTTGCTTAATGCATACTACACATTTAGTACGTTGGAACACGTTATTTCCCAATCTTCTTTGATACCTGATACTGAGACATGCAGGGCCATGCTCTGACCCTGCAGTTGCATTTTGCTATAGACACCCAACACCCTAGTCTTTAATCCTGCCATGCAGCCTTGTTGGGGGAGGTGACTGCAAGGAATTTTATGACTGGGAAACTCATGACCCACTGGGGATTAATAATCATGCAGGGAGGGGCCTTAACAGCTTGTTGAACCACTTTTTCTAAGGTTTCATCTCTGTATGTCTTGAAGTGGGATTACAATCATGCACAACAATCCAGAGTGCAGGAAAACTGAGCAATTTATTCTATTCATCAATATAAGCAAACAGGTTAGACCAGGAGTGAGAACTTGTTTATAATTTGCCACATACAGTCCGGTTTCATCTGAAGTGCGCGGGAACAGTAAGGCTATTGCCCAACAAGCTATTAAAAAACCTGCTTCCCTTAGTTTAAGCGCTAACATGTAAAATGTGTTTAACTACACATACAGTCCCTGGGATATCTTTAAAAAGATGAAGCAGGTGTTTAGCAATATGTCTCAGTTTTTCCACATTATGAAGAAATGCTGCAGTAGCAGACTGCAGTGTGGCTCTCTGGGCTTACACTGTGGGGAAAATGGGCTTTATTTACTAAAAAAGCAAAATAAATTATCAGTAAATTCACAGATTTTTTTTTACTGTGTAACAAATAAACATTCTACATTTTTCAAATTAGTGGGCCAGATTAGTTCATTTGGTGGGCAGGTTCTGGACCGCAGGCCGTATGTTTATCAAAAAGGACCCCTAACGTAGAACCTTTGTGCCACTGTGACCAGTGCAAGAACAGTGAGTACAAATGCAGTTTAGACTAAATACATGAAAGCACTTACATAAATGTGCTTTACACAACATTCACCCACTCATACTATCACTTTTTTCTACATTTATGTGCTTTCTATCTAACATTCACACTTATGTGAATGAGTCAGTGAAAAAGGGGCAACTCAGACTTTAGTATATTGCCCAAGGATACTTTGGTATGCAGACTGGAGTGCCAGGGATCAAACCACCAACCTCTGGTTAGTTGATGATCTGCTTTACCTCTACGGCACATATAAAGGAACTGTCTAAACAAGTCAGAAACTAAACTGTGAGATTTCAGAAAGATGCGAGACATCATAAATGAAGCAGTAAGACACAACTATGTAAAACACAAACTATCAGCTATCCTTGAAAAAAGCCACACACGCATTTCTTGATTTATGTAACCTTGCACTGAAGAGATGAATTCTCAGGCACAACAGAGGTCAGCTTGTGCAGCGTCCACAAGGAAACCAGAGCTCTGGGCACAGATTAAATATTGTAAGATACGATGAAAAGGAGATTGATGAACAGCACAAGGTAAATTTTCCAACATGATAAATATCCCACTCAAATAATCACAGAAGAAGAAATTTTCAAAGAAGATAAAAAGTGACTGACAATTGGGCCAGCTGGGGCAGGAGGTAGGGCTGGTCATATAATAACCAGAAGGTGGTTTTATCCCTGGCGTCTCTAGTTTGCATGCTGAAGCATCCTTGGGCAACATACTAAACACCGAGCTGCCCCTGACATTTCCATCTAAGTGTGAGTGTGTGTGTGAATGTTAGGCACAGAAAAAAAGGTTCTTGTAAAAATGTGTGTGCGAAAGGGTGAATGAACCTTGTAGGAAGAATGAAATAGAAAACCACTATAGAAATGCAGTATATTTACTATGGAGCAGCATTTTAAAGTAGTTAGTAGAGAAGGAAAACCCATCCAGCAAAGGCCAGCTGTCAAAAAACAAGGCGGTCGAAACAAATGTACAATTTTAGAAAATTGTACACAGCTGAACTGTAATTTTGTATAATAAACATACATCTACAATCCATAAACTGAAGTCAGTTTCATCAAATAAAATGAACACTAAACAATATAAAAGGCATAATAATATTCCACATGACGAATAGACAGGAAAAAGGGCAAATTTAAAATGGATTTAAAATCGGATAAACTATGTTCACCGTGTACATGTGACTGCATTACAGAAGTGTCACGGCAGATTTGTGTCAGCTTGGAGGCGTTGGGACTGCAGCTGCAGAGTAAGTTGTGGCTCAGTGTGGGTGGCAGCTATCTGGCCACTGGGGCGGTGTGTTTATGTGTGCTGGGGTTAGAGCCACGTGCACAGTGGAGGCATACACACTAACGCACTAGCATACACACACGCACACATGCATGCAAACAGAAAAACCACAGAGACTCTATTGATTCCGGCTAATCAAGGCGGCGGTGTGTTGGGGGTTGCCGCGCATGCATGTGTGTGTGAAGTCAACACATTCCCCACATTCCAGCACTTCCCAAAGAGGCACCGAAATATTAACCACTACACGAAACTCAGAAACTCGGCCTCATCCTACTGCAGGGGTTCTCCTGCTCTTTAACTTGACTGCCCTTCCTTCTGAGTTTGCACCCTGGCTGTAGTTTCAACAGCAGTTTTTTCCCTTCTTTTTAAAAAAATTCCACCCACAAGATGACCATGCAGTGACTTCTGGCTGAATCACGCAGACAGCACAATGGCTCCACATATTTATGTCTGGTTGAGACTGATCCTTCTCAACTGGTAATACAACAAAATCTGACCTCGCCCATGAAGGTTTAACCGATTGCATGTGTGCAATGCATTAATTGAATGCACGCCCTCATGACACAAGAGCCTCTGAAGAACTGCTCACCAGCTGGCTACACTGACTGGAAAATATACACGATGGTCATCATAATTGTATTTATATTGTTGATAGCTTCTTTTCTTTTTCTTTTTTTGCAAAGCTGCTATACTAATGTATAATCAAACACTTTTTGATTTAAGCCATCCCGTGGAACTTTGCACCATGGCCTGATATTGGTTAATCTGTGATTTTTTTCCCCTTTAATTAATTGTTTAACTTTTAAAGGATAAGAAACAATGTGTACTAGAAAGAAAGAAAGAAAGAAAGAAAGAAAGAAAGAATATATTCCAAATTATACAAACTCTGAAAATATCCTCATAACACACAGGATGTGTACAGCTTGCCTGATATAGATACTTATATGAAATTTATATGAAAGGGTACACAGCACAGCAGTCATGTAGAGATATAAGTGTGCGTAGGAAACACCTGAACACTCTGTGTTTGTTACCTGAAATGAAAATGCCGTTTGGCCCGGGAAAAAGGAGAGAGGGTTCTTTTGAGAACCAGTGAAGGACCCAGCAGTCAAATAATACCCACTTACCCTCCTCTTCCTCCTGCTCCTCTAACTCCATGGCTCCTGGTCTTAAAGCCAGAGCAAAAAAAATGTTCACAGTAAGGAATCATTACCATAGAAACTCTGTTTGCATTTCCCAGTGAGCAATTCCAGGACCTCTGGCTTTTTAGCTGGAATCCAGACATTCATTTCAATGGGCAGTGCTGTCTGGAAAAGCTATTGTCCGTGTGGGGCACCTTACTGAAAGACATTCTAGGTGCATTTCCGTTTAAAGTGAAAAGTCAGACAAAAGGAGCCTTGGCCATGAACTGGATGTCATCTCAACAGGCTTGGCTCACAGGCTGCATCAGCTGGTGCTGCACAGCTACAAGTTCCAATATTCCGATTCTTTGTGTTTTATTTAGAGGTGATGAAAATGAAAGGCTTTCATTTAAATGTGGTGCCTGAGCAGAGTTGTGCACGTCATTCAAAATTAGCGTGGTTGGAGAGCGCGACTTTATGCTGCGTGCCCCGTCACAGGGTTGTATTCAGGTTTGTCTTCAGTCGTCTCTCCCATACTAGACTGCTGCGCTGGAACAAAGGGGCCTTTCACATCGACCTTGACACACAGCCACCCCATCACCACAGGAACCAGTGCAGAGGAATCCACCCCAACTCTCTGATATCAATCTCTCTGTACCCCTGGCAGAGAGTCTCAGCTCAAAGCTGAGGTGAAGAAGCTAATGCACATCGTATGACTGTTTTCATTCCAATGGAGAATCAGGTGAAAATGAAACTCTTTAACAGCTTTGTGAATATTGTTTGAGCTACTTTGACCCACCAGGTTTCTTTAAAATTGCAGCATTTAGGCTTCGAGCACTATTGTGTCCCTAAATTAGGTTCATTATGGCCAAAATGATTGAATATTATCAATGAGTATTATTTTCTAATAATTTGATTTATAACATTTTTTAAAGATTAGATATTGATACACTTCTTAAATAAAAGAGGTCTTTACTTTTTTGTTTTCTCAAATGTTGCTTTGCTTTTCATTCCTTTGTGTTTTGTACCTACAGGCCACCATAGTTTTATCTAAAATATAAAATTAGAAATAAAAGCTCAAGTTAGTCAAAGTCAGAGCAGTTAAATAATTATCTTCCGATTACTAATACTTTTGTCTAAAATCTGCCACAACACCCACTTTAATACACACACACACACACACACACACACACACACACACACACACACACACGAAGAGTATGCAAACATCACACATGTAAGCATGCACATGGGAATAAAAGTTTTTATTCTTCTCAGTGACAAAACAAAAAAAAAACTTTTTGGTTTCTTTTTTTTTTTTTAAACAATTGTACAACCTGAAAAAAATAACTCAGGTTTTAAACTGCAATACGTTTTTAAACAAAATAAGAGTCTTTCATTTTATACATCTGTCATAGGAAATAAATTCAGAACTGTACATCACGTTTTTTTGTTTTTGTTTTGATTTTGAACAAAGCACACAGAGCTTCAAAATGTACAATATTCATTCACATTTTATACACATAAAAACCAAATGGGGTCTGCTACATTTAAAAGTTTGCGATTCCTCGTGCGTGAGAAAGGCGGTCTGAACACATTCCACGTTGCATCACCGGCGTTCGGCTAGCACGCTGCTTGGCAACATCCAGCAGCTCCAGCCATTGTCTCCAAAGAGTCACGGCGCAGCAGGAGAGGAGAGGGGCTCTGGGCCACTGGGCCAGTCTCCTCAGTTACTGAGGGCTTGTCCCATCTCCAAATGTGGGCAGATGACCTGCTCAGTTAGTGTCCACGTGACAGGGGTTTGTGCCCTGCTGCTGTGCCTCATGATACAACCGCAGAAAGTCTTTGTAGCGTGGCGCGCAGCCCATCCAGGCTTCCCCAAACCTCACGGCCCCAGTGAACAAAAACTCCCCCTCACCGGACCTCACCCCACACTGAAGGGGCATTTTGATACAGCCAGTCCAGCTCCGTACCCTCACACCCCCAGATACAAAGACCTGGGTTTTCTGTCTGTAAAGGCGACTGATCTCCACAGTGACAGATGAGTGCTCCTCCTCCTGATCCACCTTCCTAATGCTGCCTCGTGCCACTGGAAAAACCAAGCAGGAAGATGGGATTTAGAGACTGGTAACAGCAATATTTCAAACTGTGTGTTTGTATTGGACATCGACGCCAACCATGCAGCAGCAGGAAGCAGGAAGCCTATAATTCTTCAAAACAGCACTTACCAAAGTCACTTGTGCAGACAGCTAGAAGCACTTCAGTGTCACTGCAGGGCTGACAGGACGCTATGTGGAAATACAGAAAGAGGATGGATGAGTTCAGAGAAAAATGGTGTGCAAAAAAAAAAAAAAAATGCATGTGGCGTGATAAAAATCGTGTTAACAGGCCCACAGATTTCCAGTAAACACACATCTGTGGCTGTGTTTGAGTAAGTGTTCCTCACATACAGACAATTAGGGTCACAGTCATTTCCATCCTGACAAATGAATATTTATTTAGAAATGAGAGACCAGGATTCAGCTGAGCTCAGAGTTATACACCAGACAGAGGCACGCTGCTGATAGTAAGCACAACTCAAAAAGCTAAGAGTGTGTGTGTGTGTGTGTGTGTGTGTGTGTGTGTGTGTGTGTGTGTGTGTGTGTGTGTGTATGCATGTCTAATGCTCCTGGGAGCTGTTCAGTCAGCTTCCCTTGCCAAAACAGGAACCCCTTGACACCCCATGACAAACAAGGACCAGATGACGGGTATAAGAACAGTAAAACTAGTAGAGGTTACATCTGACCTCAGCTCTCACAGCACTCCAGCAGGCCTACTTAGACTGCAACTATAACATCAAGGGGGCCCACATTCAGAAGAAGCAAACAGAGGATAGATTTTGCCGGTTTCGTGCACATCTTGCATTACACAGGCACAGGGCAATTAAAGTGCAGGTAATTTAGTTTCCAAAAAGAAAATGTGAATTAAATACAATAGCCCACATCAATTATTTAAAAGTCTGCTCCAGGCACCATTTCACCTTTGATTGGGGTCTGCATAGCAGCAACTCAGCCTGCCCCCTCGTCCAGACTGTTTTATAGCAGTAGAAAGGGCCCTTAATGAGAGCAGTCAACTCCGTGATTAGTTGACTCAGGTGGTCCTGTGGCTGTCCTAACCAGAATGCCTTTATTAACCCCTAGACCTGCTTTGGTTTTCCTTAGTAGTACTCTGAAGCAGGTGGGGGTAGGAGGAGGAGTGGGAGCAAAAAGAGGACTGTCTAGTCAGCAGTGGGTTGAGGGTGAGGAAGGAGCAGTTGTCTGACCACAAAATAAGTGGAAGAATGTTTAAAAAATGTTAACTCAGGTGGGCCCGGTGCACTGGAAAGCACCCTAATTTGCACAACCAGTCATAAAACTGAGCATAAATATTAATTTGGTGTGTGCAATACATCTAATAAGACTTCTTGCCAAAGCGGTGATGTTCACCCTTGGTCATATTTAGGAGCGCAGCTTAACCTTATTTTTAGCTTTTAGCTGGATTGTCTGATGATGGGTGTACAGAGGTGAGGGATCTTTGAGGTCAGCTAGTGTAGCAACACAAGGCACTGCGACATCACTAAAGAGGGCTCAAGGGTCAAACAGCCACAAGCTTGGATGGCTTAGTAGCAGCTGGAGAGCCAAGACTTCAGAGAGGCCAACCTCACCCAGAGCAGAGGTTGTTTTTTTTTTATGTTTTTCTCCAAGGAAGTCAAACATGAAATAGAACCGCAGGAATGGGCTGAGAACCGAGTCAGCATCTCTTTCTGGCCCTCTGCACATGCAGCGCCACTCTGATCAGAACCACTTCACAGGAGCACAGAGGGATGAGGGATGGGAGGAGTGGCAAAGGAGGGAGTGGAGGGGCACATTAGAGTGTCCCTGAAACATCTGGGACCAGATGCATTCCACTGTAATGGAGCACAACTTGCTAATACCGCTCAGCAGAGACGAAACCCACTTCAAACAACTAGGAAGGGGGGGGGGGACGAAAAGGAAAAATACGAGAATGATAAATAGGCAAGAAAGAAAATTAAGAAGTAGGAAATAGTGAGACTGAGGACAGGAAAAGGGAGAATAAGTCAAGCGAGCTGAAAGGGAGGTTAAGGGAGTGACAGCAAGGGAAATACAAGCCTATATGGTCCTAGAAGTTCCTCCCAACATCTGGTTGGAGATACATTCCAATTTGATGGTGAGCAACTCAATCCCAGCACAGTAGGTCAGAGAGAAGAGGAAAGGAAGAAACAAGAAAAAGGAGGAGCAGCAGCAGCAATCAATCTGTGACTCCAGGCTTCAGATGACACGAGACCAATGTCTTTGTGAATCATCCCAGTGCTATCTCAGGCCACATTACAGCAGCAGATTATACTACAGAGCTGAGCCGAGCGAGCTAATGCGGTCAAAACAACTCCTACTCTACGTTTAACCCTCTCTCTGTCTGTTTCTGTCTGCTGTGCCAGATAATGACGCAGGATGTGAATATGTGAACCCAGAGAGCCGTAAAAACAGATGTGGGCCTGATACTGCTCATATTTTGCTTTAGGTGGAAGAGAAGGAAAAAAAAAAACATAGCTGCACAGCTTGAAAATGTGCAGGTTTGGCAGGTACGCAGCGTGAAAATACACGGCTGTTTTTCCATTGGAGGCCCTCTGTTTGACTGTGCCCCTCCACACACAAGCCAGGCAAAAAAAGAAGAAGAAAAAAGAAAACAATAGAAGCTTACAGTGCGACGTTCAAGTCAAATCCAGTCAGAATGTTTGTAAAATGAGCTGAGAGGTGAACGTTTTATCCCGAAAAACTAAAGTTTAAAAGCCGATTTTGACCTTTTAATCCTCACGGTGAAAATATGAGTTTGACAAGAACCCCCCCCCCAAAAAAAAAAAAAAATCCTTAATGTAAACACAATGCTACTAGAAAAAAAAGTCTTTGGCTGTAGTATTTGCAGTGTGCTGGAGCAAATGTTAAGTTTCCTACTATTAGAGTCCAACTTAATAAAAGTTTCCACCAGTAGATGGCTGCATTTAGCATTTAGTGCTCGGTGTGCACCACAGGGGCAGAGCACAAAGGCACTCAGTTCTAGAGGGAATCTAAAGTAAGGCCTTTATAGGAGCTACACAGATCAAAGAAGCAGCAGTTTTCAGGGGTATCACTAAAGATGTCAAAGATGCATCTTACCGACGAGCAAGTGCGGCCCCGCCTTGTGCCTGTCGCTGACCAGCTCGTACTGGAACGCCGTAATCCGCCGACTGATGTCCATGTGGGGGACAGCCTCAATAAAGAGCGCCCCTTCCTGAATGCCGAAGCAGTGCACCTTGCCCTGAGCCTGGTCCTGCTCAGGCAGCAGTAACCTCAGCTTGCCGTTGCGGTCCAGGTAGATGTTGGTGCCGCTGGACTCGGCGGAGGGTTTAATGCAGACAGAGAGCCGAGCGGCGGCGGGAGAGACCATGTTGGGTCGGAGGTTGACGATGATGGCCCCTGTGGGATAAAGCCATTCCAGAGAGCCTTGGGAGCAACGTAGGTACACCTGCTCCACATCCCTGGTGTGGCCTTCATGGGTCAGACCGCTGGATAAAGAAAAGAAAAAGGCACAACATATGAAACAAGCTGCAATAAAAGTGGCATTTCTCTGGAAAGCTTTAATTTTTTTCAACCCCCCTTTACCCAAATAAAGAATAAAGAGACTTATTCACTAATCTAAAAATGATTTTGGGGGCATTTATAGCCTGAATTAACTGACCAAGTTGAAGACCTCTGGCAGACCCAAAGGACATTAAACCACATTCCTCCTGAAGCATTATTAAGGCCGTGCGCAAGACTGGCTGCATGACCAGTCACGAGCCGGAGCAGCCAAAATGACCTCAGCTCCCAACACACACTCCCCGTACCGCATTGTTCCGCCCAGCGCTTTGGCAAAACGCATCACTGGCAAGCTGCCTTTGGGAAGGGTTTGGAGGCAGAAATGGATGAATGGAGGGACACAGGGGCTTCTGGGCAGACAACAGCAGCAACAGTAGCTGGGACTGCAGCATGCAAGTGCAAATGCAGGTCACGCACCGAACCTCCCCTTGCTTTCAAGCAACCAAAGAGACTGGAAGAGACTTGTCCGGGCAGCACTTCGGCCTCTGGCGCCAGCATGACCAAATGACTCCCTCCAGAACTTAATGCCTGGTCGGGATTTGAAAACTCCGGCTCTGTCAGTCATTCTGTGGCAAAGCCTGAGGCAGGAAGCCATCAGCAGTCTACCAGCATACACATGCCAAGCTAGCGGTTTGACTCCGGAGGAGAAACGCCCAGTTTCCTGAAAATGAGATGCTGAAATTCAAAATTTGCCATAGATCTCAAAAGGAACCCGCAGCACATGCTGAGCATATGCCTCTGCAGCCCCATAACCAGGCTCTCCTCAGCATGCCTCTAATTAAGTCCTTTCTAACTTCATCACTTCTGCAGGCAATTAAAGGAGATTAGTCAAGAGTCTGCCTAATGAACAACAGATTATTGGTGGAAAGCTCAAAAGTATGGGCAGCCCCTCCTGACTGCAGGATGATGAAAAAAACAACAACAAAAAAGAAAAGAAAAAAAACCACACTTATTTAAGGCGCAGTTCTGAACTGCAAAACAGATTTCAGCAGATGTTTGATGGGAGGTGAAACTTTCCAGTGCATGCTTCATTTCTTGACGTTTATCAATCATACATCTCTGTGTGGCTACCTTTAATACTTTGAGCCTATGAGTGTGTGCATATGTCCCACACACACACTTTTAGGAGAAGGGAGGGGGGGGGGGGGATAAAACATAAGTAAAAAAGATAAAAAGGCGATTTGTGTGTGGGATGTCATAAACATGTTATTTTCGTATTCCAACGTCCTCCCATCATGTTATTAAAATCTTTGGATGAACCATCGTGTTATTCATATGTCCAACACAACCCCAAACACACGTGTCTCTGACATTACTACGTTTTTCACACAAATAATTACGGTAGTTTCTTAACTTATATCACAAACTACACAAATCTTTTGTTTCCTACAGCCACTAGGCTAGCTTTGTTTTAATTTATCGTCTAACCCTGCCGCCTGCTTCCCACATCACCGCGGAGACTTGAGTTTCAGTCACAGTCATTTCAGGTCGCCACCAGCAGCTTTCATGTTTGCTCACATCCTCGCTTTTTCTTATTTAGCAGTTTAGTTTGACGTTCAAAATACATTCAGTTAAAAGAAAAAAAAAGTCTGTAGACCTCACCTGCCCTTCCAGCTGCACTGGTCGCTTGAGTATTGGCAGAAAGAAATCCTAAAGAGAAGGAAAAGCGGCAGCAAGGAGGCCAGCATCGGGGTGAGCATGTTTATCTCGCCTCACTTAGCCTCCTCTTGAGTGAAACTACGATAAAGTCCACCTCCGTCTCTCCAGCTGCATAGCGTTTCCATGTGCCACGGTCCGCTCCCCGGGGTTTCTTCTTTTATTCTCGAAAAGTTCAGGGGATTAAAAGCGCTTTCCCCATCAAACACACACACTCGCTCAGTAGCTCCGCGCAGCGCTGACAGCCCTCCGTTAAATGTGGAGTGAGTTCAGCTCCGAGTCTGCCTCAGCAGCCCTGATTGCGCTCTACGTCACACCCGAGCGCTCTGTGTATGCTGCGTTCAGGGGCCTCATCTCAGACTCCGATTTTAGAAGTTCGAAATTTTGCGGGTTTGTGTCCTTCCAAATATTAAAGTTGGTTGAATTTTAGAACGTTATCTGTTGTAAATGCGCCATAATTAATGATATATGGTATATCAAATGATTGATCTTCAGCTGGCAGAAGCATAGCAGCAAGAGTGAAAGGAGACCTGCTGCCATGTGTGGTTTGGAGACGGTGGCACTTACAAGAAGTCAGGAGGCCGAGTTGGATGTGGATCTGGGATAGTTTGGACATGGTCATAGGAGGTTCGTGGATGTAGTGAAGGAGGATATGCAGAGGATTGTTATGAGAGAGGAGAATGCTAAGAAAGGGCGAGATGGGGGCAGACGATTTGTTGTGGTGACCCCTCAAGGAAGCAGCTGAAAAAAATAGCTATGCCACATTTAGATTAATAGAAGTTAATTACATCACCAGGAGATTTTTTTTAACAGGTTGGGTTGTAGTCAGTTGTCTAAACACAGATCATTTTCTCCGAGGGGAGACAATCCTATTCTGTGACTGAAAACACCAGAATGTTTTAAAGAATAAGTATATGGCTAATATCGAATTCTTGATATGATTGCTGATTGGAGTTAAGGTAACTTGCTTAAAACTGGTTAATATAATCATGTCAAACAATCCCCAATATCCCTGTTATTTTCTGTGACTGTTTTCTGTTTAGTTGCTCGACTAATGTAAAAGTTCCGACAGCACTTGAAAGTTGCATAAAACTTGTGTAGAAACCACAGCAGCTCCGCAGTTGCAACACTTTGACATTCGTTGAATATTTCAACAGAATAAACTTTATTTATTTTTGTAAGAAATCAGTCTATAAGAGGTCTTTTATATCCCTCATATAAAGTGTTTTATAGTTCTGTGGGTGTCTGTCTCTATGAACAGAAATACTATTGTTTCCCGATGCTGGAGCCGCAAAGATCCCTGTCAAATAATGAGATCTTAGTGCAATGAGGGTAAAGAGGTAAGGAAGTAAAGTGGCAGGTATTCTTGGCAGTGTCCTTTCAAAGGAAAGGTGCATAGACTCAATTACCTAAAAGTGGTATGTTGGCAATACTGGCATGCTGGTGAAACTCTAGTATTATAATAGTTTTAAAAAAATCCCCATAGTCTCTCTCTGTAAGTCAAATTAAGTTTAGCCAGTTGCATTCTTGCCTTTAGCTTTGCCATATACTTTTATAGCAACCATCAATTGTACATTATACTGAGATCTGAGGGCTAAAAAAGGGCTGACTATCAGCTGTGGTCTCATGGTTTGGCTGGAGCTCTGCAGACATCTGCAAGTACTGGCCACATGAAGGAGTTAATTAATCAAAGTCAAGTACTGGTCAAGTAAAAACAAATTTGCATGTTTCTTTATGGGAAGTAATGATGGTATTATCCATTATGTCTGTTAATAATGTCACAGGGGCTCTGCAATTTAAATTTATCCTGTAATAGTTTTCTTTTCCCCCTCTTTCAGATGAGAGGGATTCTGGAAGGGGAGGGTGGGGAGACCATGGCAAAGACCTCACCACCATGTTTGTGTTCTTGGTGCCTTTTTAAACATCCATTCATCAATCTTTTTCCATTTATTCAATTAAGGGGGATTAGCTGAAGTTGCTGCTGCAGGGCTGTCTTTTGAAACATCTTTATTTAAATTATCTGACAAATCATGTGACTTGCTGCGTGTTTAATCCCACTCATGTGTGAAGTTTGTGCTTTGTACTGACAGTAGCTACAGCCATCATTAATATAAAGTCTCTGGCCCCAGACAGCTCTCGGGTACTTCAGATCTATTTTGTCTGTTGATTTGTGACTTGTAACATCATAGTTTACACATAGCTCTGTTTGCGAGTACAACAAGAGGAACTTTACGATCTTCGGGGTTGGTTACAGCATCAGTAAACATAAACTTTTCATTGCTCTAGTAATGGATCCTACGCAACGACTTCTTATGAAAAAGTTGTTTTGTATCTGGAAGCCATTTGGCATGGGAAAGAAACCTGTCTGACAAGGAAAACCAGCGCAGTTTGTAACTGCTATTTTTTTCCTTTCTGCTTTCTTGGGATTTTAAATTGGTTGTGGTTGCGGTGATGATTGACACATCTGCGTTTCTGACCTGGCATGCAGGGTGCATGTCCTAGCTTGGGCAACTCAGAATCCCCTGCAAACCTCAGAAGGATGTGCTGATAGGCGGTTAATAGGACGAGAGTGTAAAGTTGCTGTAACAATAAGGAAAACACAAATCCACAGCCTTGTTCCAGACATTGTGCAACTTTTTTTGTTTTGCTTGTGTAGTAAGGATAAGAAGCCTGGCTGGTGTGTGTGTGTGTGTGCGCGCGCGTGTGTATGATCTGCTTTTTGTGTTATCTTTGCCACTGCACTTCTCGATGAGGTAACAGAAACACAAGACGTGCCCAGGCAAGACATCTGAGGATCAATCATAATAGCACCTGCACTGATACATCACAGACACACAGTGTAATTACAAATAATGACCTTGCTTAAATTTAATTAGTGCGTTAAACCTAATTTGTACTAGTCTTTTAAGTATATGCCCTCACACTGAGTTATCACGCGCTACATGTTTCATTTAATGAGAAAGGAAGAGCTCTGCTGTGGTGAGTGTAACATCTATCCGTTTAGCAGTGTTGTGGTTATTACAGTCATTACGTTTGTGTTGTGTTTAAACTCTGGTTCTTGAGAATGTGTGATGTGGTTTCCACTGTTTGTGCAGCAGAGATCAGTGCTAAGGTTTAGCTCGCAACAGACCCCCAGTGGTCCTGTAGTTGTAAGGTTTGTGGAGGACAGAGATCCAAAAACGGGGATTTTAATCACTGGACTCCTGTCTCTCATATCTGTCTTTTTTATTTAAGTGAGACATTATGACATTGCCACACATTATTAGGCACAATTCATTAGTACCAGCATCACACAGTTGCCCCAGATTTGATTCTACCACATCCCAAAGATGCTCTCTTATAGATTGGCATATGTGTATACATCTGATGATGTATACACTGTGGTCATATAGGGATGGACATCAGCAGCAGCAATACTCATGTAGTCTGTGGTGTTTAAACAATGCTCAGGCCCTTAACCGTTGATAAATGCAGGATTGATTTGTCCTCTCTTGTAGTTTGTGCCAAATTCTGAATGTTGCAGCAGAAATCAACACTCATCAGACCAGGCACTGTTGTTCCAGTCTTCCCTGAGCCAACTTTGGCGAACTTGTGTGAATTGTGGCTTCAGTGTTCTGTTTTTTAGCTGACAGCAGTAGCACCCAGTGTGGTGTAGCCCGTCTGCTTCGAGGATCAATGTGTTCTGCATTCAGAAATGCTCTTCTGGACACCTTGGTTGTTACGAGTGGTTATTTGAGTTATTGCTCTCCTCTCTGTCATCAACAGGGCATTTTTAACCCAGAGAATTGCCCTTCACTGTATAGTTTCTCTTTTCTGGAGTATTCTCCGTAAACCCTATAGATGCTTGTGTCACAAAATACCAGCAGATCAGCAGTTTGTGAAATGCCAGTCCATCTGGCACCAACAACTTAAATTACCTTATTTCCCCATTCTGATGTTTGAACGTCAGTCCCTCATCATAACCATGCTTAAATGCACTGAGTTCCTGTCATGTGATTGGCTCATATTTCCACCCCACAAATATTTGAACAAGTGTGGTCAATGAGTAATTGTGCATGCTGGTTCCAGTTTACCAATAACAGGCCACTTTCAAAACTACATCATCGTTTGTATGAGCATTTACACATGTTTGAAACAATAAAATTATATGAAACTGCAGCCATACCTACCTGGCAGTCAGGTTAGACTGACTAAGTGTTAAAGAAGGGATTTATCCTATTATTGCCTTCAGCTTGTTATTGCAGTTGCTTGCTCTTTTGCTGCCAGTGTTTGTTATTTTCTCTTCTGCCACAGAATCAAAGAAGCAGGCTTAGCTCTCACTCTCCACCTGTCAGAAGTCTCAGTAGTGCTGGTGGTGTTGGGGAGAGGCAAATCATGAGTCCGAAAAACAAAAAAGCTAATCATACGGTGTGCTCTTACCGTTGTTTTTTAGACTGAAACTTGGCAGAGAAGACCTGATGTTCAACAGAGAGGCACTGAAGTGGATCGTAAATTAAAGGATTAAGTGAGTTTGGTAAATATGTGTTATATAGCCTGGGATAGTGAGCTAGAGAATCAGTGGAGTTTCGGGAGTTAGTCGGGGGAGTTTTGCGGGGGAAGGGTTTGGTTTTTTTTGTCAAGCCTGTTGTCCCAAACTCTTGCTGAACATGGCTTATTCCTTTAGGTAGCCTCCAGGTGAAAAAGCAGTCATAAAGTAGATTAGGCTGCTGACAGGATGTGATTTATATATATGTGTGTGTGTGTGTGTGTGTGTGTGTGTGTGTGTGTGTCCTATTCAACTCTTAGTTTGTCTTTAATGGTTTCACTTTGGTAAAGCAAGAAATCAGACTTGTCTGCAATAAACTAACTCTCTAACAGTTGTTAAGAGAACCATTTTTTTAGTAAGTACGGAGGATGATGAATAAACGTATTGTTCACTGTGCTGCAAAAACTAAAACCTCCTAAACAGACCTATTGTTGTCTGTGGCATTTTCCTCTCTGGGTTTATTTATCTGAAGTTTGTCTGGAGTTCATTTTCAACAGACTTCCCCTGAGTGTTAAACCAGTTTGATGAACACACTGCTGCTCTTTTTCCAAGCTAGTCTCAACCTGTTTTATTGAGGCTACTACCTTAGCCAGACACACGGTAAACCGCAGTCACATAGCCATGTCCGATATCTTGTGGTATGCGCAAGCAGATTGGAAGGCGCTGATAGCATCAACAGGCCGTCTGCCTGTCATCATCCTTCTCTGGCTGTCTTCCAGATTGTCGCATTCCTCTCAGTAAACAGGAACCCTGTCATTTTGAAGTAC